TTATTTTTGTTTCAGTTTTCGGTCAATTGGTGGATGAATTGTGCTCAGATTCTGTGATAGAATTGTATATTTGGGGACTTTTGAGTTGGTATGTATCAACAGGTGGTATATGGAAGAAAACAGCGTACGCTCTCACCAAAATTTTTTAAAACGTAGGGACATTATTCGCAAATTTTTCTAAAAGGTAGGGACGTTACTCGCCAATACTTTTTATAGGTAGGGATGTCTTAAGAAAAATTATAACTACGTAGGGATTATTAGCACAATATTCATTAGATTTCCAAAAAAAGTGAACAGGATCCGTCATCTTCACCAATAAGCCAGTACCACTGAAATGATAAATACACAGCACCCATTTCCACTTGATCTTCGCCATTTACCCCATGGTTACAATAAGCATAAACTAGAAATGAAAACCTAGTAGTTGTCTCTATAAATTGACCACCCATTCAATATATGTCTTGCTACATTTTTCTAGAAACCCAACATTAGAGCAGCAATGGTGGACCTGGTGGTTGGATTTCACCATATATGTTCTTCACGACATTTTTTCCTTCATTTAATGTAATAATTTAAAGTATTTTCACACCCATTTTCCAGCTATTGTTACTATGTGGACTACGTAGAAGGCGGGAAGAAGGGTTTAGTTGGGTGAGGACGGTTTTACCCCTGTTGACCAGCAAGAAATTGAGTCTCTCTCTTTAATTAACGGAAGAAGTGACGAGAGTTGGACGGAAGGACTTTCGTCTCAATGAAAGGTTGATTTGAGGGTAAAAATGTCAAAAAATGAAAGATGAGGACGTTTTACACAATGAAGTTGAAAGATAGGGACGTTTTGTGCCAATTACCCTTTTTAATCCCACACATTTATTTGTCATCGTTATTTCTTATTTAAGAATGTGATGAGAAAATAAGCTTTTTTACACTCATGAAACCGTCGCAGGGACTGTTAATTGATTAAAGATTGATAATAAGAGCGCGATGATAAAAAAAACGTCAAGGACATAAGTTTGATAATAAAATATAGATTATGGACTTTGATTGTAATAATGTAGCGCACTTACAAAATTATGTGGTGTCAATATAAGCATCCAAAAAGTAAATTATGATGTGAGTATTCGACAATTTAATGGACGGTTTTTGTCCTTTTGGCACTCGGTTGCTATAAATGTGAGAGGTTAAGGAACATTTGACACAAATAGAAAGTTGATGATCTACTTTTCATATTTCTAGTACTTTAGGGAGCCCTATAGAAATTCCAAATATAGACCAAATAAAGAATCAATTTCAATTATTAGTTTTATATTAAAAAAACATGTGGGCCTAATCAACGGACAGATGCCCAATCCTTAAATAAAATAATAAATTATTAAAAGAAAAAACTATACTTGTGTCAAAATGGAATGCAAGTTGCGGGATACTGATGTTGCATGTATCCAATTTTAGATGGGACGTTAAAAAAAATTTTGAAATTTATAAAGTAAATGATTATTTTATCAAAATTTAACTTTTGTCGCAAAGGGGACACAGGAAATTCATATGTAATTTTATCCCCAAGCTATAAATCAAGCTTTTATTAGATTCTAAAATAAAAACTAATAAAAATATATAGTTCAAAAGTTGATAAAATATATGAGCTACAAGTTACGTGGTGTTAAAATTAATTGTGGACTTTTCACTAAAATTTTTATCTAAATTTTATACCATGCTAAACATGGCTTATTTTATTATTTTACATTTTAGGGCCTGTTTGGAAGTGATTTTGAGAATTGATTTTTTGATCGTTAGGCAAAAAGTGGGGGTCACATGTGAGAGAAGAAGTCAAAAATTACGACTGAAATAGTGAAGTAACAGTCAAAAACTCAATTTTTGGGTGAAAAATCACTTCCAAACATGACATTAATATCAAGTATTTATAAGATTGCCATTAAAAAATATGAATTATAAGATTAACTCCATTTTGGCCCTTTTTTAAAACTCATTCTCTTCAAACTCATTCTTAATCACGTTATTTTGGAACATGTTTGATTGTATTAAAAATTGATTTGTATAGTATGTTTTATCGTATGTAGAAAAATGGGACCCACCGTGACCTACCCAAAAAAAGAAAAATGAAAAAGAAAAAAAGTGATTTTATCAAAATTTTGAATGCAATAGTATATCATGTAAACTAACATAAGATACAAAGGAGATAAAGCCCTGTTTGAGCTCCATTATGATTAGCTTTTTGAGAAAAAAGTATTTTATAATAGTTTTTTTATAATTTTAAGAATGTGTGGTTAAAAAAGAAAGAACTGTTTTGAATTTGTGTAAGAATGAGATATATTATTTCACATAGTGTGTGTGATGGTCTCATATTCAAAATTTGCCCAATTTGGCTAGGGAAAAAAAAGAAAAAAAAAAAAACCGGGTAGAAACACACATGCTCATCAATAAATTATTCTTTTAAATTTAAGACTTCATATAAAAGAATTGAAATTTTTTAATGGTGCATCAAATCCGAAGGCTATAGCTTTTCAAACTCTACTATTGTCAATTTGTACTTTAAAATTATCATTTAGGGTCTGTTTGGTACTAATTCTTAGAACTATTTTTTTAATCGTTAAATAGAAAAGTGGATCTCACTTGTGAGTAAAGAAGTAAAAAATGAAGGTTGAACACGTTAAATAACAGTCAAAAAATCAATTTTTTCACTTAAAAAATAAGAACCAAATGGGGGCTTAGCGACCGTTTGTTTCCATTTTTTACCCATTAAAATGAAAAATATGATCGTCATCCATCACATCAAGCCACCATATTTGACTTTCTATCTCTTGTGTGGGGTCCGTAACGACTATATTTTTCATTCTCATTTTTACATTAATGTGTAGCAAACGGGGCTTAATCTATGGACTAGTTTACCTTATGAGTGTCAAACCCTCCAACTTTTTCCAAATCATTTGAACCAACTCTTCCAATTATGGCCACCTAAAGCAAATTTTGATTTGGCAAGCTCTATTCAAACCCTTGAGCTTTTTAATTCATGTAAGAAACTCGTTTTTCGAAGAAATCCTTGAGATTTGGCCAAGATATTTTTTTGAAGAAACTCCTGTATATTTCTATCCACGAGCTTCACCACTTAGCATTTGTACTTAATAGGAAAAATCTAATGCTTTGGACTAGACCAGAATAAAATAGACATTCACTTGATTGATCGTATTTTTCAATGCAATTTGCTCTTAACTTGATTAGGATTATATTTGTTCTTGGCTTGCATATATGATATATCTTTGTCTAGGCTTTTTAAGAGATTTTTCCTCTCATTCTGTTTTTGTCCTTTTAGGTTTGAAGTTAATAAAAATTCTACTTCATCTAGGTTAATTATTCAAATAGATTCGATGCCCTCTTCAAGACTTCAATAAATAAATAAATTGGGCCAATTATTTAAAAAAATAAAATAAAAATTAAAGAGGAATCTCCCTGGTTTTGCATGTGTGAATTGACACTTGAAAGTTATGCTATGCAAACGTACTAAAGTGCAACAATAGAGGGCGAGTTGCTGATTGTTGATACATATGCTCGTTGATAGATTTTTCTTTAAAATCTTAAATTCCATATAAAGCCTAGATTTGGGTTTCATTTTCTTATAAAATTCATAACTTACTAAAGTGCAGCAATATATGGCAAGTTGTTGATTGTGGATACATATGCTCGTTGATAGATTTTTCTTTAAAAATTAAAACTCCATACATAGCCTTGATCTGGGTTCATTTTCTTATAAAAGTTTACTTTTCAAAGTTAAAATTAAATTTAAACTTACATTTCATAAGCCCATATGTACTATTTACTTATCAATTACTCACTTGTTGAGTCATTGAAAAATAGAATGAAACCCATATAGAGGCAAAATAATTGAAACCTTTTAATAGTCCATCAAATTCAAAGGGCATAGCTTTTCCAACAGCGTTACACTTATAGGGAAAATTATACAGATATTTTATAGAATACAAACAGTAGTGGGGTCCACCCCCATAAAATATTCACATGAAGCCCACTCTTATGTGACTGCCCTGTAGAACATCTGTGAAAAAATTCCCTGTAAATAGGGCATTTTCCTAGCTTTTCAAACTCTACTGTCAATCCATACTTTCAAGCTCATATTTGGACTCCATTAAAATTTTAATTCATTTTTCTCTTTTTCCTTTTTTAACTACACGTTTTTCGTTAAAATAATATTATATGTAAATTCTAAATTTTTTCTTATTTTTAACAATATATTTTTTCAAAAAATTACTGTTTCAAAATACATTTTTCTCAAAAATTCATCTTTGTCATAATCTAATTAAAATAGAGCCCAGACCAGGGCTAAATCTTCCTCCGACCAATTTCTACAAATCTCTATTGAGGTTAGGTTAATTGTAAATGGATGACTACTGTATATAAATAGAGTAACCTCTTTTTCTTCTCACAATAGTGATTGATTGTAATCGGATGACGACTGTATATTAATGGGGTACATCCTCTTTTTCTTCTCACAACAGCGCCTTACTTGCTTTGCATGCACGTTTTTTTTCAAATCGTTGAGATTAACAGTACAACAAATTGTTATATTGGGGACTAATTTGTTATTTTCTAAAGAATAGAGACGAAAGTATTACTCATGTTGAAGGTCAAGGTCCAGAGTTAAATAGGATGCAAATAAAAAGAATAATATTATTTGCAATCACTCACTACTGCAATTATTCTATGTAACACGCATGTGGTGGTTAATAATTTGATATACGTGACAAAAAAAACTACCACATCAATTCATTAAATCACAAATCGTCATGTAAAATATTACGTAGAGCAATTATTGGAATGAGCGACTATGAATAATATTAAGGATAAAAAGGAAAAGTCCCTCGGGGCATAATCCAGTGGTGTAAAGGACAAGAGTGAAGTTGTCTTACGCCTTGCTGGTAGCCGTAGTGTGAGGATTCGATTCCTGAGATATAAGATTGGACTTCTTGTAAGCGCAGTACACAGGCAGCTCTTGTTCCCTGCTTTGTTGGGCCACATGTAGCTGTGGAGCTGAGAAACTTAAATCCAGATTGACTGCTTCAGATTCTGAGCCTGGGAAGAATGAGAAGAAGCTTAGCAGACAAGATAGAATTGAGGTAGGCCGTTTTTTTCAGGGTGCTGTGAGTTCACATGATTGGGAGCTCGCTGAGAGTCTGATATTGTTGGCAGATCCACAGACTCTCAATGACGCTCTCTGCATTTCTTTGGATTCTATCTGGTTTTTGAGTACACAACAAGAATTGTATGGAATCACTGGGTTGACCAAGAAGATCATCGCGAATGGGGCATATGACTTCACTAGAGCTGCACTTAGGACATCGTTTCTCGCTTCCTGTGTTTCAGCTTGCCAGAGCAGAACAGTGAGCCTGGCAGATACTGTAACTGTGATGGCACAGAGGTATAATACTTTCATTCACACATGATATGTATATAGAAGCTGTGACTGATTATTTTCCTGGATATGTAAAGTTAAATTCTTTTTGTGCCTAAAGGGTTTCCTGTTATTTTTCTTTTCATATTATGCCCCCATTTGTTTCCCATTCTTTCCCCCATTAAAATAAAAAATATAACCGTTATCTATCACATCAAACCATCAAATTTTAATTTCTATCTCCCGTGTTATATTTTTCATTCTCATTCTTACGATACCAAACGTGGCCTATATATGACCAAAATATATTGAGTGCTTTCTGTATATTTTCTCTCTCAAAACCTGTTGGGTATGGCTTGGAATGTAGACTATTTATTTAGAATACCAGTTTTGTATCTTGGAACAATATATTAGTGTTCTTTACCAGTAACGACCAATTGAGCATGCTCATTTATTGAATATGCCTATCTCTTAGCTTGAAGTTCACATCTGAGCGAATGATTCCCAATATCTCAGGAAACACGTATAGCTTCTGTGAGGATGACAACGCTTGTGAGTTATAGCTAGAATTTTTTTTTTTTCACACTATGGATGAATTTTTTGAAAGAAATTTGAAGTTTAAGAGGTATGAGGTAAGGGTTCTGAACGCTTGGTAGGAATTAGTAAGATGCCAAAGAAGGGCTCCTTGTATAGCAAGAAGTTCTAGATCTGACTAAATTTAGGGATTGGATGCTACAGCATTCAGCTGTTGTCTCTTATGGGGTCATGTTAACTGAATACTTGAATAAGGAAGATCATGTATAACCAGCAGAAACATAATATTCTTCTGTGCACTACTGTGACATCAGTAGCTCCTCAGATCGACCAAGAATTTTATTACTTGCTGCAGATTTAGAATTCCCTATCATTTTCTACCTGCACAGTTGGGCCCCTGTTTATCAAGCAATCTATACACCTACCGCTATCACTCCTCTATTCGAGAGAGGGGCACTGACGCCCACTGCAAGTTGGGTATGCTTCCCGAAAACATTGACTCTATTATTCGTTCCTCGATCCACTCCCCTTCCTTATTATTACTCCAAAGGGCAGCTGCTGGCTCTGTTTCCTCACCACCTAGTTGCCTGTTTCGTTGGCCCTTATAAAGTAATGTGAACTTATGATTGAAGATGCTTGCAGCTAAATAAATCTGTGAATACATGTTGAGATCTTGGTCTTCATGCCTTCTCACAAGTGCAAAAGTTATCCCTGTTCTGTCCATATATAAACTCTTCTATGGTGTGTGCTCTGTCTTCCTAACACCCAAAATTTCATCTCTAGTTGATGAAGCTTTCATTTCGAGCGTGTTTACTAAATAGATTGTGCTATCTAGGTCGAAAGGACAGTCGTCAATACATGATATCAGTATATTAAAGTAACTAATATCTGTTAGCATCTTGCTAAGCAGTAATATCTATTAGCATCTTACTAAGAAGTAATATCTGTTAGCATCTTAATTAGCTTTCAAGCATGGTACAGTTTGATCTACGTTCTAGGCTTCTAGCTATATCTACATGTTGTGACTGTTATTAGTTGCCAAAGTTTCAGCGCTTACTGACTTCTCTGCTTTTTCGGGCATGTCGTTGTTTTTAATATCATAAACAAAGAGTGCAATTAATGGAGGAAATGTAGAATACTGCTCAACCAAAGAGGAAAAAAGAATAAAAGCAGAGGGGTTTAGGTCTATACTCCTTACATCCTTCATGATGTAATTAGGAAAAGAGGAAAGCAAGTTCTCATTATTCCCGAAATTGGAAGATTCTGGCTATTCATCTTGGAAGATTTTATCACAGCTTTAGATAGTATGGAGAACGGAAACTGTAATTGTTACTTAGACCCCCTAGATTGCAACATCTGTTGGCAGGGAATCTTGTTGATTTGTTGGTGGCAATAACAATTTAACTTGATAATAGGTTTTCTTTTTCTGTTAGCATTTTCTACACTTTATTCAAGTCATATCGGATGATGTAGGATGATAGCTCAGAACTTCCCCACCCATCTTAGCAGGTTGCATGAACGACTACAGGAATGCAATGGAGATGAAGTTCTGAAGGCAGAAGCTGGTGCCAAGGTTCAGAAATTCACTGAGTGGGCCCTTAAATGTATAAGTTTCCACTCTCGTTGCCTGGGAAATAGAGACAGAGTGGACTGCAACTCTGCCATCGAGATCCAGCTACAATTATCAGCTTTCAAGACCTTTCTAGATCTTGCTGGAAACCATCTTACGGGGAAGGATTTTACAGAAGCATTTGATGCAGCTTGCTTCCCACTTACACTTTTCTCTAGTTCATTTGATCCTGGTTGGGCCTCTGGTATATCAGCAACTGCTATCCAAGGATTGCTAGGCATGCTGGTTGAAGGTGGTGCAGACAATGTCAACCAATGTTTTCTTGAAGCTTCACGATTTGGGAGCACAGAGCTTGTTCGCATCTTATTGCAGGTAACTTAATCCGAGCATGCTAAAAGTTGGCGATGGTGCTTTTGTGAAGTATTATTGCTATTACTCCATTGTATTTTGTAGATCAGTTCGTAAGGGAGTCCCTCTCTCCATCCTTCCCGACCATACACCCCTTCTTTTCCTTCTTACCCTTCTGCCTAAACTCTGACCACGCCTTACATTTGGGTGTTGGCCTCTGAGGGAGATTTTTACAGAAATAAAATAGAATTCTTGCAAAAAATATTCCCTTATCTCAGTCATGGAAACAAGAACAGATTTTGATTCATTTTCTTTCCATAAGAATTAGATCAAGTTAGGAAATTTATCTTTTCAACATTTTGCTAACTTTCTGTTTCTGCTTGGACTTTTTTTCAATATTAATTGTAGTAAGATTTCTGCATCAACTTCATTTTCTTTTCCTGGTAGTCTGCTGCTTTTCAATCTTATCTAACATATTAAGAAATTTATAATAATGCCAAAGCTGGTTAGTTTGTTTATTATTGGTTTCTTACAGCTTCTTCATTATTTTACTTGTTTTTTCTTCGAACTGTCATTTTGTAGTGGAGTTACCAAGCATAGTAGCAGTTGCACTCTTTTGAATTAACTTCTCTTACATTTTAACGACACATTACGTTACATGCAATGTTTGTGACATTCTGTAAGGGGGTTTTAAATGTGGCTATTTTGGTACATCTTTTCTGATCTTAACTATTACACTTCCCCACAAGTCTTTTTTCACATCCCAATAGCTGATTGCCCTAGTTTTTCTAGGCAACATTTGATGTGCAAACATAGTGGTCGAATCATCACTGACATCAGGGCAACCGTTCAGTATCACTAATTCATGAAATAGAGAACCTTCCTTTGTCAATTCCAGTGGTACTGAGAAGATTTTATGGCAGATTTGAAGTTTGTGAATTTTAGGGTTAAATAACTCAAGGAGAAAAGAAATGGTCAATGAGTTGCAGTAAAGATCATTATTACAAATGAAATAAACTTGCATTAAAAAATGAATTAACCTGTTAAACACAATTCAAAATTGCAAAAAATTGAGGATATGGTGTTTTTATGGCCTGACAATCTCATTCAGTCTGTAAGAAAAAGGGCTTGTTTGTGCTATATGCTTAGGAAACCAAGGGCAGGTGACTTTTTACTTGCATATAACTTTCTTTAGTGTCTCCTCATAATTTAGCTTTTATGGAGATTCGATTTGTTATTTAGAAGAAAGACAAGCGGTGATTGAATTTTGTCCGAGTGTTGATTTTAGTATCCTTGCCATATGTTCTCTTGATATTTTTCTCATTTCATTCGTCAGTCATGTTCTTGTTCTTAATATTGATATTTGCTCTACTTAATTTGTCTGCCGCATGGTTCTTGTTTGTTGTCATACTTTGGGGTCTTAGATTGCTCAAAGAAACAGCTTGGATGTTGATGTTGACCTAGCCTTGGGTTTTGCTTCCCACTATGGTAAAATTGGCACTATGGAATGTCTAGTGGAAGAGGGAAATGCCATGGCTTTCTTGGGGCCTTTGATGAGAGCTGCTGAGAGGGGTTGCAAGCCAGTTGTTGAGTGGTTCGTTCAAAGGGGTTGCCGGGACATGGAAATATGTCTTGCCCTTACAGCTGCCACCTCCAGCAGTCAAGTAGATATTGCAGAATATCTTCTCCCACATGTTCCACAGCATGTTCTTGCTGCACTCAGCATTGAAATTCTCAAGGCTGCAGGTGAACGAAGCGGCGGATCTCTTGATGGAGTGGCATTTCTCCTGCGTTCAGACTTTTTAGGTGATCCTGTAGCTACTTACGCAGTTGCTGACAGCATTGCTAGATCTGACGACGAGGCTGTTGCTCCCAATCTCAAGGCTTTTCTTCAAGAGCATTGGTCAGAGGCGGCTTTTTTGGATGGACTGAGACAAGGTGAAGTACATTACTTGAACCTTGTGCAGATTGTAAAATGGGGCGAATCTCCCATCTGCTTAAGGGAGCTTCCGGGCCCTCTGAGGGTGGCAATAGCCTACCTCCCACTCTATAGAGAATGCATCAAGGCAGGAGGCCAGTTGTTATCACAGCGGCATAGAGGGCAACTTGTGGAAGCTGCTAGAAGGCTCAGAGGCTTGATACTAGAAGAGCCGGGCCAAAGAATAGAGTTACTGGCTGTCTTAGAGCATCACCTTCCTACATTTTTGCTTAATGCACCAACTGCCACTTAGCTATACAGAAACTCAAGATATTGGAGCCAACTCCCCACCCCCCAAAAACCCCTCCCCCTCTCCCTCCATGTTATAGATAATAATGACATAATATCTGGGTTGAAGATGATCAAGTCCTAGAGGTTTGTCAATTTCCTTATCATCTCTGTAGTTGTCTACTGCCTCAGCTCATACAAAGTATACTTGGATGTGCTGGTAAAAGCCATGTCAGAGAGAAGCTGCTATTTAGATGATTTTCTTTGTCATGGGCATATATATTAGCTAGTTCATCTTTGTTGAAACTTGATTCTGTCAATTTCGTCTCTATGGATATGATGGTATATGTTGTGATGGATGAATCGCGATGTTTGACTATATAGTTTCCGTAGGTAAACATAACTTGTCAAATAGCAGTCTTATATGCCGATATTCAATTAAAACAAAGAGTTTAAAGCAAGCGATCACTTCGGTAGAAAGTTCAGGGTCAATTGGCTCTCTTTCACTAGTGATTGTAAGTTAGGTGCCCTTGAATGACAGCAGGGGAAGAAGCTCTAGCGGAAGCATCCAGTCAATCAATCGGGAATCCCACCTTTCACATTCTACATCTGCTACTGCTGGCGTGGATAATGCCTCCACATTAATGTGAAACTCTGCCATTAGTTTGCTAGGACATGATTGAGATAATTTAATGCATTTTAAAATAGTAGATTAATGAAGAATGTGTGGTTAAAAAACAAAGAAAAATTCTGGATTTACGTTTAATATTATTTTATTGAAAAATGTGTGATTGAACAGAAGATGGAGAAAGATGTATTTTGAAAATAATGGAAACAAAATAAAAGTGATATGTTTTCACTGGGATTTGAGTTCTAAACTATGGGAGTGCCTCGATATGCATTGGAGGTCGTTTTTTAATCAATTGGATTGTCCAAACTTCATTTTTTATTTTAAATTTCACCTATTGATTAATTCTTATACCTCAAATTGAAGCCATATCATAAATTGACGAAATTGCTTAATTCATAGTCACATGTGGATCATTCAAGTAGTGGTTGCAACAAGTTGTTTGAGCTGACACGCAAGCCCAAGCATGAGGCTCAGCTCAACAAGACTTTAGGCTCAGGCGGTCAGGCCTTTTGGCTCGTAATCAATTATATTGAATAAGAATCTTTATGGAACAAAAAATTCTCATATTGATAACTATACTTATCCTACTTGCTCATCCGAGCTGCTCGCGCCCACTGTTTTTTCTAATTATAATTTTTTTATTTTTCATTTTCTGACTTCCAATGAGTTGACAGGAGCCATAGCCCGAGCAAAAAAAGCCCATCTCTACTCGTCCTATGAGCAGCCCCAGCGGCGACTCGATGAGCAGCTCACTCCCTCAGGTGTATATGCCAGCTAAACAATTTTCGTCGGTTCGTAAACTATAGTAACTAAATATGATAGAATAATAATTTGAAACTAAATTGAAATTCAGTAACCAATTGAGATTTCTCCACAGATGTAATATACTTGCTTAGAGGTATCAATTCAACCACAAATGACGTCGAAATTATGATAATAGAATTTCCAAGAGCAAAATTTCAATTATTTTATGTTAAGTAATGCTATTCGTAGTGAAGACTGTCAGTAATCGCTCTATCTGACATACACTTGACAATTTGGTATTTGATACATAGATATGGTAATTATTTTTTGAATTATACATCAAATGAAAAACTCCCAAGTGTACGCCACATAGGACGACTGCTGACAGTCTTCAGTGCGAATAGCATTATTCTTTCATGTTACATATAATGCTTCATTGGTATTGGCCAAAACTGT